AGCCGCCTGTCTCCAATTCGCCGGGATATCAGCTAAAAGAGCGCCAATATATAGCATCCATACATTCCTGCCATTTACGATAGGTGCATAGGGATTTAGCTAGTGGGGTCTGCGGTTGGAGGTATTGATCCACTAATTGTTGCCAAGCCTTGCGTATTGCTAGGCCTGCCTGGTCCGTTGCATTCATAACTCCATCCATAGCCTCGCGCGCGCGAAGAACATCCCCCAACGTATGCAATGCTTTACAGCCCAGGAGGGCTTGGTGTCGAAATTCTAATCCCGGGCGGATGTTATCTGACGGGACATTCAACCTTTTTTCTGGAAGAACAGGATTTCCCCACAGAGGCAAATTCCAACACCACGCATTAGGAACTAACGGGTGATCATCAACATCTTCCACTGGGGGAAGGCGTGCCAACGCTGTCACAATGTGCTGAAGATCTGGCGGTAAAACGATTAATCCAGACCAAGGCACTCCCACCTGGGACGTAAAAATACACATAGGATTGTACTTGGGGTAAAGGCTATGCAGGAAAGAGTGCATGACCAACACCCATGGCGGACGTACTAAAACTGGTTGGACTATCGCACTCTGGGAAAAGGGGGGTCGTTTTACCCGTAAATTTGGGTCAATCCACCCGTAATTTGACAGAAATTACGGGTCCGTAACACGTAATGGGTCCCGTAATTTGAGCACAAGGATACGGGTGAACATTTACGGGTGAAGACCCAGTGATTACGGGTGGATTTTACGCGGTGCTGGAGGTGAATTACGGGCGCATGTAACCAATTACACGCAAACTTACGGGTGAAGACCCAGTGATTACGGGTGGATTTTACGCGGTGCTGGAGGTGAATTACGGGCACATGTAACCAATTACACGCAAACTTACGGGTGAAGACCCAGTGATTACGGGTGGATTTTACGTGGTGCTGGAGGTGAATTACGGGCACATGTAACCAATTACACGCAAAATTACGGGTGAAGACCCAGTGATTACGGGTGAATATTACGCGGTGCTGCAGGTAAATTACGGGGCATGTAACCAATTACACGTACAATTACGGGTGAAGACCCTGTTATCACGGGTTACACAGGCAGATATTACTCTGCGATGTGACGCTTACTGCATGTTAAATTAACGATTGGTGAATACTTGCGGCAAGCCTCAAAATGGACGCACACCCCTTGTCAAAGTAGCCTATAGGTCTCAGTGTGCTTGTGGACCAAGGCGCTTTGGACTCACAACGCCAACCAGCCAGCCTGACAGCCTGATGCATTCATCTCAACCATCGTCCTCGAAAACAGCGTTCATGTCACCCCCCATACAGCAAGTGCTCGCCAAGGAGTCTCACCACCACTTGCAGAGTTCGTGCCTACTCCTACGGATGAAACCCCCGATGCATGACATGTACCGGCACCTATTGGGATTGGTCTGTCCCATCCTGCCTGGGGCCGACATGGTGTGTGCACCCCCAAGCGCTCATCACTGCTGCCATGTTACTGCTCACTTCCACCACTGTCGCTGCTGCCACTGCCACTGCTGCTGCTGCTAGCTTCGCTATATTTGCCCGGGTCCTCCGAGCTGGACTCCTCCCCAGCGCCAGCGGCTAGGACCTCTTCCTCACCGTGTTCCATATGCCACGTAAAACGATGCAGCCCATAGGCAGCCGCTGCCTGTGCACGCCCAAAAATGGAAAGGTGTAACACAGAAATGCGTCGAAACCGAGCCCAGACTTTGTCTAGTTGCACGTCCCAGTCCATGACTGTGGTGTCTCCCACATCCGTAAAAGGCAGATTGAGAGCCGTTGCCATGTGTACAACCTTCATGTCATGATTTATTGTGATATGATGTGGGTGGGTGCCGAGAGGTAAAAGCTCAACCTTATCCAGGTTAAGTTGCTGTCCAGAAGCGTGTGCGTACACCCTCATACAGTCAAGAAAAGCCGGAACTGCCTCGATTCCTTCTAAAACAACTTCCGTATCATCAGCAAATTGCACAGCTGTAAGCATTTCTGAATTATTTTGGGGTAAATGAATCCCCACTCGGTTGTACTGTAACCAACAAAGAAACGCCTGCGCGGCAAACAAGTATAGCAACGGTGCCAATGGACATCCCTGTCGCACACCCGCTGTAAGAGCAACTTCACGGGAAAAAAAACCATTTACTACCGCTTTCGACGCTGTATCGGATAAAAGAAGCTTAGTCCAGCTAATTAACCCTGCTCCTGCGCCCATAGCATCCATTGCTTCAAATAAAAAATTACGATCTAAGGAATCGTAAGCTTTAGCAATATCCAAAAAAGCCAGGAGACACGACTGGCCTGTTGTGGACATGAGTTGCGGTAGATGCCGCAGGAAACGAACATTTGCACCTATCAAGCGCTCCGGCAGAAAAGCAGACTGCTCGAGCGTGATATTCGCCCTAGTATTGGACTCAGCCTACGGGTTAAAATTTTGGTGAGAATCCTGTAATCTGTATTCAACAAGGTAATCGGTCGATAACTACCCGGGGAGGTGGGAGATCCCCAATTTTTATAAATAACCGTGATAGCACCTTGCAAAAAGCCATCTGGGAGCATTTGGGTTTGGCCCATGGCTGTATACAGTTGAGCAAGAACTGGTGCAATCTCGTTCCGACACACCTTGTATAACTCAATTGGGATGCCATCTAGACCGGGCGCTTTGCCTGGCGTCGCTTCCTTGAGCACCGCTTCCACTTCAGCGTCAGACACCTCCGGACTTCCTACATGTCATGACACGCATCCTCCTCCGGAATGACAAGGTGGCGATTCCGCAGCGCCCCTATAACAGCCATTCTAGCCTCTTCAGTCACATGAGTTGGGGAGGAACAAATCTCTCCCCAAAAGTCCGCAACCATCTGTGGCAACTTCATCGTGTCTGTAATAAGACGACCCGTTCTATCTTGCAACGCTGAAATAACTTGTAGAGTCTTAGACGGGTGCACCAGGGTTGTTAGCCCTCTACTAGGCCGTTCACCCTCACGAATCCACTGTAACCGAACCCGTTCCGCATCCTGTGCACCTTCAGCTCTAGCCGCTTGTACAACCGCTACTTGGGCGTCAATTGCCGCTTGGATCCTCTGTGCACTCATATGTTCGGTCTGCACTTCTTCCAGTGCCCGTGTTGCATGTTCTATTGCCACACGTACTTGCCACCCCGGGGGAAAACGACGTTCTCGCGCTTGCCGATTAAGAACAGTTACTTCATTGAACATTCGATGTTTAAACAACGGCCACCAGTGTAGCATAGCTACTGTGTCTGTCTCAGCGGGTCTCTGCGCACACTCATCACCAATCCATTGCAAGAACCTTCCCTTCAAGTCAGGGAAATCTAAGAAATGCGTGTGTAGCCGTGGAAGGCCTGGACCACGCGCTCTCACAAGACGAGGTAAAAGAGCAATAATAGCTAAACGGTGGTCTGTCGAAGTGCACACTGGAATGGTAGAGGAAGCAATGAAGGGGGTGAGGTTTGTGGATGTATAGATTTGATCAAGACGTGACCCTCCCGCACACCTGTTTTATACAGAAACGAAAGGTCACGACGGGTAGGGTGAAGGTAGCGATATGTGTCTACCATATCAGGGCAGCCTTCGGAGAAAGCCTCAGCTATGGACAAGTCCGCGGGTCTACTCCCTTCTCCTGTGGTGGAATCTAGCAACGGATTATGGACAAAATTAAAATCTCCAGCCCAAAGCAAATGATCATCCTGTCCTATCCTGTTTACCACATCGCCAAGAGAATGCACACACGCCTTCCTCTGATCTATCGAATAACTAGATGTCATGAGGTACACATTAATTAAATGAATACGGTGACCACACCACGTGAACGAAACCGACGCGACGCGGCCTTGGGGAATGTTAACCGGAAGTAGTCGTGCCGGTGTTTGTACTATTTTGAAGTCGCGATAAAGATCTTTGCGCACTAGCACTAATACTCCAGCCGTCCGGGCATTGGTCGTGGGGGATTGTGCTATTATATCCCATCCCGGTATCCCTATTTTCTGAGCCGCGAAGTGCAATCCTCTAGTGAGAATTGTCAGGTCTCCATCTCCCATATGATGGGATATGTCATAATGACAGCAGTGACTTACCGGCAACCATGGACTACGAGAGCCTTGATGCCCCTCGCAGTGGTGCCGCCGAAGGGGTGCTGGGCGTCCCTTACTTGGACAATATGACCTCATGCCTGTGCTTCGTCCGTGTGCACGTGTCTTCGTGCGTTCTCCGGCGAGGACAACGTTCGCGCCTACCTTAAGCTTGCGACCGGTGGAATGGTGGGCGGTGGAATGGCGGGCGGATCACTCTAGTAAGGAAGCAGGGTCGCTCGCAAAAGATGACTGGATTGGGAAATACTACTTCACCCAATTGGAGACTGTCTCATTGGAAACAAATTTTCCCGTCTGCAATTGGTCCTTCCATGGGCGTGGGAATTCCTTGGCAATACCTTAGGTCAAAATCGATTGGGCTGCCTCGCTCCGAAACCATAACCAACGACAGCTGGATCTTTACAAAGCATGGGGATTCCTCGGCCAATAAAACTTGGCTGCCTACGACAAGACCTTGGTCAAAACCGGACTGGGCAGTCCGGATTGAAAGGTTGACCCCGTTCAAAACGACAGACCGAACTCCACAAGACCCCGGTTTTGTCAGGTGACTAATAATGAGATCCTTGTCTACATGCAATACAAATCCAATGTGACTCGCCGCTTGGCCAACTCTTCCCTGCTCAAATACCCTATCCATGCTTTTACATTTTCCGTGAGGAACGCCTTTTTCTTCGCATACCACATGAAATATTAGACAACTGTTACTTGGGCGGAACTCCATCTTCGAATGTTGTCTACTAAACAGGCGGACAACATGGAATAACCATTCTGTCTGTGATGGAGTAGTCCCAAGGAGTGTAATGGAAAACCCCAGTCGATAGGGGGTTTATGATGTTAGTTTATCAACTGTTTGCTGCCGGGATCTTTTTCATTGTTCAATGACGAGATCCCGCTCAATGTCGGTGGTCATCATGAATCCCGTGGAGCACATCTTGATCATGGCAAATGCATGAAAGCGTCCGTGCGGCGCCTACATGGTGAATTAGGGTAAAACCACCATTTATGCATCCTTATGACAAACTTACACGGAAATTAGGGAGCTCTATGACAAGAGTACACAGGCAAATGCTGTGAAGGCAAGGTACGACATCTCTGTCTATAATCACAAATAATTACGCCTCCAACCAGTAGAGGCCAGGTGAGCCAGGGACCCAGGTGCTCCAACTGCTTGGAACCAAGAAATAGGCCAACATGTATGACATCGCCTGCCTTGTATGTCGCCTCACTCGCTCTATTGTTGGACGGTTCTGACGGACAGTTCAGGCTCAGCATTGCCAAGGACGGTGCATTCCCACTCCATCCTGTGGTGCAAAGGTACCAATATTGCGTCATCATCACTTCTTCCGCTCGATAACCCTCGATAACAAAAGCCCTCTTCGACTTGTCGCAGCTTCAGACCTCGGGTCGCTTCAGGGCAACACCCGACCACGAAGGCCCTGCAGCCCTCCCGCACAGGGGTGCTGCTGTATCTGTCACTCACTGTCTTGCCCCGGTCGGCAACACCCTATTCCAGTCCCGCTCCTGCATCTCCCGCTTACCCCCTAACCCCCCCTACCATGACCACAAGACCTCCCCCTCTGTCCCCCAACCCTCCCCTCCAAACCCCCACACCTACCACACCTACCAGGGCAACACAGCCGCTACGACCCGCTGCTGTTGCACCCACCATCAGCCAGCGCCTCCGCAGCAGCTATGGCTGCAGACGCCGTCTGGTGGCACCGTCTTCAGGGCCCCCCGGGACGGTGGAGCTGACTAAGGCGGCGGCGGCAGCGGCGGCACACTTTCCACTGGAGGGGCGGGGTCCGGGGGAAGGGCCGGGGGCCTGGAGGTGACAAGTGGGGAGGTGGAGGTGCTGTCAGAGGAGGGGCAGAGGGGGAGTGAGCTGGTGCTGCTGGTGGTGGTAGCGGTGGTGAGGCGCCGGGGTTGTGTGGGTGAGGTCGCTGCAAGGGATGGATGTGATGCCCTTATGATGGATCTTATAGGCGACTCACATGTGACACCACATATCTATTTGAGCTCATTTTAATACCGTGTGCTCATTCATTAGGTGCTCCTCGCAGCCCTGGCTGCCCGCCTGGCCTGCCGTACCTCCGTACGGACATACGTGCCCTGGGCAGGGTGGTGATCTCATGCTGTACTGCGACACCACATCATCACAGGTCATGCCCTCTCGCCGTCCGATCAGGTCGTACGATTACCTACCGTACATGTCGTACCATTCGTAGTAAGCTTTGCATGAGGGTCTGGTGTTCTACTTTCGCCTTTGTGCGCAGTTTTGAGGACGCAGTTCTGTCTGTAGGGTTTGCCTGTAAGGGAACACACAGTTCGGCCGGTACATACATACAGACACACATCACGCCCGCCATCGCTTTGTGCAGCTCAGTCTCCTTTTCAGAACACCCACCCCACACGATACGGTGTTCCCACCGACCCCCTCCCCCCTTC